TAAAATATCATATTGTTATAATACAATGGTTAAAAATCCTAATCAATGTGAATCTCCTTTATATAATTCAAATAATGAAACAGGTTTCTGGAGATGTGAGGGTCTTTTTCATTTTTATTGCAATCTCAAGCTTTCGGGTATTACCGCTCTTCAATAGGAAGCCCAGGCTGGTCCCAAGCCTGGATGAAAGAAGGGGAGCAGTAACAAGCTCACTAAAAACCTGGACTCAGCTGGCCAGGGTGATAGTACCCTGTAAGGGCTCCTAATCCAGGGATACAGGATGAGCAGCGTTTGTACTCCATGTTAGGAGCAGCTGCACATGGCGTCTGTTCCTCATGTCAGAGGCGGCCATTTCTTTTGGAGCTAAGTCGGCCTGCTACTGAGTAGTGCTCCCAGTCTTAATGACAAGGGCAGACGTATTCTACTTCACCCAGTCATGATGGTTGTCAAACAGACACCATCACAGGTCACAACTTGATATCCTAATATGATTGAGTGGAGATAAGAAAGAAGAATAAGAACAGGAGGACAAAAATAAACAATATAATGAAACGTTTATATTATGATGCATCAGCGTGCCAAAATAATCATATATGTCTATAATAGTTTGGAATATTCATAATGAAACGTTTTTTGAGAAGGGTAGGGATTGAAGATGAGAAAAGGATGAGACCCAGAAGAAGATGAATTAGACAAAAAACTGGATAGACACTCTGGAAGAAACAAACCTAAGACAGAACGAGATTGAGTGAGTTGACCAGTTATGTTACAAACTCCCAATAATGGAAGAACCGAATAAATTGTTACTATAATCTCAAATACATTGATATATGCAAATCATGAGTATTTATGACTGGGTGAAATTCTCAACCTGCAACTCCAAAACACATTGTTGACTGTATTGACTCATCCATTGATGAGCTCTACTCTTCCCCGGCAGATACCATCAAAAGTCTCAAGCTTTACAAGCTTGATACCCTAATATGATTGAGTGGAGATAAGAAAGAAGAAGAATGATTATTTATGAGTTTTAGAATGTTGTACTGTAAGTTCACTACATATACTGCACTTGTAGAGAGTAGTTTTATTTGCTTTTACAGTAATATATACGTCTTAGTAATAGTGTTGCTCAATATTTTGCATATAGGCCATATCCTCATTATACTGTTACGACGCTTTTCAGCCGTCGTTTTTTGCGTACAAGGTTTATAAATAACAAGGAGAGGTATATGTAGTTACAGCTTAGCGCGACGTACTTTGTTACCAGTAGCTTGCTAGTATATTTAAGGATTAAATGTCTCCAATGTCCGCCACCAGAAGGATCTTCCTCGCCACCAACAGCTGTCCAGGTCGGGCAAGCTTCTCTGGCATCCTCTTCCAGGATCATCCACACGGCCACATTCGCGGAAACAACTTTCCGCTTCCACTTGCATCGCCGATGTCACCAAACTGTCTATTCTCCCCCACCTGTCTCTCTGTTCAGCTAACCCCTTCTTTAATCCGACAGTCTTCCCTAGGCCAGTAGTACTTCCTCGTTACCACCCACGTCGTCTTGGTTCTTGTAATTAATATATAGAAGCATAGGGCACCTCTCCCGTCAAAGTAAACATCAAAACTAGACGCCATCTATTGACCGTCGCCACAAACTAGCGGCCTTGGGTTGGTGACAAAGCCACAAAACAGCTTTGGCAAACTGAGAAACGCCCACCTAGAGGCCATGGTTTCGGGCTAATGGCCCTCGTAAGTCTAGGGCGGACTTTATTCCATGAGATCTACACGGGATCTAATGGAATCTTGACAATCTGCCAAAGAGGTGTTTAGCTGGCAAAATGGCTGGGCCTACTATGTAGGTCAAGATATAGATGGAAAAATTTGCCGGGAGGAATTTTTCCATCTGAATAAATATATATTCACTTTCATCATTATTTCAAATGCGGACCTACATAAAAAATACACTCTCCTACAAAATTTATTATCCACGAAAGCTAAGATGCAAACTTAAAAAGGTTGTGAAATATATTTCACTACTAAATATATACGTATGACACACACACACAACTTTAATAAAATGTATAAATGACACTAAATTGAGAGAGATTCACTGCACTTTATTACAACGTCCATATAAGGTTATATACAAAATTTAATAAATATTGTAACAAAGTATTTATTAATTTTATTAACAGAGTGGTCATTTTTATGCTTATATTTTGCTACTCTGTAAATTTCCCTCGTGGCTTATCTTTTGTTTACCATTCATAGTTTGTCCTTGCCTGAAATAAATTATTGTCTCCTCCTGAAGTTTTTGCCTTCCCTAATTATCCACGTGGCAATATGAATAAATAAGATTATATAATGACTCCATGCTGACGAGCGCCAAGAGCACGAAACGCGTTCGTGGATGGCTTTTCTTGATTTTTCAAGAAATTGGGATGGTCAAATATCAGGGAACAGGCTAAATCAATGTTTAGTGTTCCACTAGGTGGTGCTCTGCCATCTAAAAAGCACATGTGCTTCTGGTCATGATATGCCTTTTTATTTTTAATATCAACACCTCACCTTTTTATTTTTTTTTTTCCGTTATTTTTTCAATGATAAATATATATGAAAAAATATATATGCAGTCTTCATTGGAGGCGTTCTCTACGGAAAAGACTCCGCCACCGGTGGACTGTGAGAGTTCTCTCCCACAGAGTGGGCAGGTCGAGGTGTTGACTGGCGTTACCAAACTCAAGACCAAGATGGTACTTGTAGATGGTAACCTTCGCCACACTTGTCATTACCTCGGGATGGAGGCGACGCTGTACAGCCATGCCTGCAGATTCATGGACATGTCACAGTAAGTGAACACCTCCCGGAGCAGGGGTGGCACGGCTCGGCAACTCCAATATCTGTGGGTCAGAGACCCGTTGCTGGATCCACAGGTGGCACGCCTCGAGGCAGGATGGGGTAGAGCGTGGAGAACCAGCTGTAGGGCGACATCTGCGTCGTGCCCCAAAAAGCAATTGCTACCCAGGTCGGTTCAGGAGATAGAGCGGGACACATTCAAGGGACCTTTTGTCGCTTCGAAGACGCAGGAACCTCAGGTTGGCGGGATGTAAACCCCAGTGGTTCAGCTCAAGAACGCTGGAGGCAGCATCCAAGAAGCTCAGAAGTCTCCTTCTTCTTGGCGAGAACCAGACTGTTTATACCACTGTCTACCTACCAGATAACCACTGAGGCCGCTAGTTTGCAGCGACGGTCAATAGATGGCGTCTAGTTTCGTCGTTTATTTTGACAGGAAAGACCATCTATGCTTTTTTTAGATCAATTTCCTCTCGACAAAATTTCCATCCATATAAAGTAGAACCTCCCTTTAGCGGACACCCCGTGTTGGAAAAGAAGGCGTCCGAAGCAGCCAATGGGAGGCCGGCGGAAGCGGCTACGGGGATGCAGCGGCAAAAATGAAAAAACAAAAACAGAAGAACTTGTAAACAACTTTCGAACGCTAGAATTTGCCCTGATCTCCGATTCTTTTAGTGTAAATATTCAAATATATAATTAATTAAATAATACTTTACTTATTTTCTTAAATTGTAATAAATATAATTTTCCCTCCTGTTTTCGTCATATATTTTAAAAGTGTTATAAGCAGCGACGCCTTAACTTTGAACCTTCAACCCCGCCGACCAAGAATAGAGGTGAGTGACTACCTCTATAGAATTTAGATCGTCGTCACAACACAGAGTGGCGGTGAAAACGCAATATTTTTGGCATCCCAGCCGGGACTGTTGAATGTAAATTCTAGAAAAAAAAATCATTTTAAGCTGACCATTTTGGAACTCGCTTGCTAACCCTACTTGCCGCTTTGTTTACATGATGGCGGAAGAATTAATTCTACGTTTAAAAAAGAAGCGTGCTATTAACAGATCATATTTAACGAAAACATGCAATAAGATTGAAAGTGGACTTGACACGCT